CGCTGCAGCGTCCCGACGTCGGCAGCCAAGCCCACGTCCACCTCCTGCAGGACCAATGGCGCCATGTTTGGTTTCTGCCCAGTAATGCTCCCCCACAGTCTCCGCGTCCGTGACCCCCACCCCACGCCCTCCTCAGTGACCCCCTCCAAGCCGTCGCCCCCCATAGTCTTACCGGTCAGGGTCTGTCAGCCTAGGTAGACCCACCTTCAGCCTGCTCTGCCTCCCGTGTTCAGGGCCGCCCTGTCCACCCCACGGGCAAGCCCTCCCTCCCTCCCTCCCCCTGCAAGCCCCTTCCTGCTTCCACAGGCCTCTGCCCCCTCATCAGCAAGTCCCGAAGCCCACCCTCCACACCGCCAGCCTTGTCCCCACCCCACGCCTTCAGTCCCAAGACCCCCCTGGACAGCCCACTTCCCACGTCTTCCACAGCCAAGTCTTACTTTGCAACGTTCCGTCTGACTAGCTCTCCTCTGAAGCCCTCTGGGCTCACCCCAAGCCTCACCCCAGCCCCTGCCCAAGTCTAAGCAAAGCCGGAGGAGGAGGTCAGGAGAAGGCCTTACCTTCACCTGGAAGAAAGCATCCTGGGCACAGTACCGGATGTCACAGGCGGTGATGAGGGCCATGCCTGGGAGGTGGAGGCCAGGGAGGCTCAACAACCGCCAGAAGCAACCCTTCCTCCCAGGATGCGAGGCTGTGTCCTGGGACAGTCTGACTAAGCAACAAGCTGCGGCTGGGGACTCTAGGCTGTGGCCACAGGGCAGCCACGTGGCCAGGGGAGCACCCCGGACTCACCTCCGCCAATGCAGCCCCCGTGGATGGCGGCGATCACCGGCTTGGTGCACTGAAAGAGGGAATATGAGGGGCGGGGTCAGGGCTGGCCCGGAAGAGGCCGGCAGAGGGAACCCCTCCAGAGTCACCTTCTCGATGACGTTGAAGGTCTCCTGGTAGCGGGTGATTAAGTCACGGAGGTGCCAGCTGATGCGGGCCACGTCGGTTCCCGGGGGCTGCAGGATATAGGAAGCCATGTCCATGAAGTCAATACCTGGGGAGGAGGCGTGAGGGAGCTCACCTAGGCTTCCAGGCCCCACCTACCGCCCCAGCCAGGGGTCAGGACCAGGTACATCGGGTTCAAACCCCCAAATCACCAAGGCAGAGAAAACAACTCAGACAGCATTTAGCAAGGGACTGTAAGTAGGGTGTGAAATAAATCAAAGCTAACAATAATTCATGACTCATTTAATCCTCACAGCAACCCTCCTATGAGGTGGGGCCTGTTACTGTTTCCATGTTACCAATGGGTAAACGGAGGCTCACACTGGCCTGTGAGCAGTGGAACTGGAATTTTGAAGCCCGAACCCTGCAGCTGGCTCCAGGGGCCATGCCCTACCCCTTGATACCCGACAACCTGGGACTCAAGTTTTGTGGTATGAGCATTGGGTCTATGAAGCAATTCAGTGAAGTTCCAACATCAAGATAATCCCAAGGCTGAGATCGGTGGCTTACACCTCTACTCCCAGCACTTTGGGAGGCCGAGATGGGAGGATTGTTTGAGCCCAGTAGTTCAACACTAGCCTGGTCCACAAAGTGAGACCTCTCTATCAAAAAATCAAAAAAGTAGCCAGGCGTATTGGCACACACCTGTAGTCCCAGCTACTGTGGAGGCTGAGGCAGAGGAATTGCCTGAGCCTAGAGGTCAACACTGCAGTGAGCCGTGACTTTGCCACCACACTCCAGCCTGGGGACAGAGTGAGGCCATGATGCGAAGGAAAAAAAAAAAAACTCCCAAATCTGACCCTTCCTCCACCAGTCATTCTTAGGCGCCCCACCCTGGTCCCGGGTTCCCACCTGTGTCCCCAGTCTGTTCCCCACACTCAGCCTGAAGACTCCGTGAACACCTAAGTTGTGTCAGGCCCTCTGCTCCCCTCCCATCACACTGACTTAAAATGAAATGCCAAGTCAGTTTGAGACCAGCCTGGGCAACTTGGCAAGACCTCATCTGCACCATAAATCAAAAAATTAGCGGGGCATGGTGGTACACGCCTGTAGTTCCAGCTACTTGGAAGGCTGAGGCAGAAGGATCGCCTGAGTCCAGCAGGTCGAGGCTGCGGTAGCTGTGAGCATGTCACTGCACTCCAGCCTGGGTGACAGAGTGAGACTCTGACTCAAAAAAATAAAAACACCAAGTCCTCACCGTGAATCCACCGCCCTGCACGAACACCTTTCCCTACCTACTCCTGCAAAGCAACAGTAACAGCACATTCTCTCCCAGGGCCCTGGTGCTGACCACTGCCCCTCTCCCTCCAATGGCCACAGCTGGCTTCATTGCTTCATTCAGTACACATCTCAAAGGTCACCTCCTTGCATCCACCCTAGCTAAACAGGTCGGTCACCCTCCTGACTCTGGCTTATCTCCTGCACTGCACATCTTGCTATAATAGAATCCTGCCCTTATCTGATTGAGCGACTATCTTCCTTCCTAGAATGTGAATCCCATGAATGTGGGAGTTCTTATTTTGTCCACCGTGGTGTCCCTAGTGCCTAGAACAGGACCTGGCACACGGCAGATGCTCCATAAGTGAACAATCCATCCCCTCATGGCGAGGCAAACAAATGAATAAGAAAATATATTTTGTCAGGCGGTGGTAGGTGCTCACAAAAAGTCAAAGGAGGAAGGTGAAATGGAGTGTGTGTGTGTGTGTGTGTGTGTGTGTACCTACAAGCAGGGGCTGTTGCAGTGTTACATGACCCTCTCACAGAGAAGGTGACATTGAGTAAAGACCTGAAGGAGGACAAGGAGGGAGCCATGGGCTATCTTGGGTAAGAGAATCCCAAGTGTCAGAGACAACCAGGGCAAAGACCCAGTGGTAGGAATGTGCCTGGTCTGTGTGAGGCCATCAAGAAGGTCAGAGTGTCTGGAACTGAGTGAGCAGAGGGTGGGCGTGGGGAGTGGGAAGAGCCTAGGTCGGAGAGGTCATGGAGGCAGACCGTGGGGCCTCATGAGCCACAGGGGAACTTTGGCTTTGAGCTTGAGTGAGAGGGAGCCATGGAACAATTCTGAGCAGGATCAGTCTTCACTTTCTTCCTCCTGGGATTAATCATTCCCTTTGCCTGTGCCCTGAACAGAGCCATCTGTCAAGCCTGAAAAATCACTCCCACACTGGCCACACCCTGACTCTGAGGCTGCACTGCCTGTTTCAGTAAGCTCTATGGGAGAAGCTGGCTCAGGACGGAGCCGATGTGTGTGATTTAAGAACAAGTAAGAAGCCGGGCTTGGTGGATCAGCCCGTAATCCCGTGCCTTGGGAGGCTGAGGTGAGTTGCCCAGGCTGGTCAAGTTGCCCAGGCTGGTCAGGAACCCCCCGGGTTCAGGCAATCCACCCACCTCGGCCTCCCAAAGTGCTGGGATTATAGGCTGAGCCATCAAACCTGGCCAGGGCTTCTCTTAAAAGGATGGTAGTTTGAGACCAGCCTGGGCAACTTGGCAAGACCTCATCTCCACAATAAATTAAAAAAAAAAAAATTAGCCAGGCATGGTGGTGTGTGCCTATACTTCCAGCTACTTGGAAGGCTGAAGTGGAAGGATCACCTGAGTCCAGCAGGTCGAGGCTGCAGTGGCCGTGAGTGTGCCACTGCATGCCAGCCTGGGCAATGAAGTGAGAATCCAACTCAAAAGAAAAAAAAAAAAATTAAAAGGTTAGTAAGAGGTCATTGCTTTGTTAAACTCTGGTGTGTCTACATGGCCATGTGCTCTATGAGCTATGGCTGTTGCCATGTTTCCTGGCTTCGGCCCCCTTCCTTACCTTGAAGAAGTGAATCTCCTCTTTCTAATTTACTTTTTAAATAAGCTGTATTAGCCGGGCTCAGTGGCTCAGCCTGTAATCCCGTGCCTTTGGGAGGCTGAGGTGAGTGGATTGCCTGAGCCCGCAGGTTCGAGACCCGCCTGGGCAGCGAGACCTCATCTCTACA